GGGGGTACTTGGGGATTTAACCTAGGGGTAATTTACCACTAAGTCATATCCCCAGCCCTTTCTTTTCTTTTTTAATTCTTCTCAGCCCTTTTTATTTTTTATTTTAAGACAGAGTCTCAGCTGAGCACAGCGGCGCATGCCTGTAATCCCATCATCTTGGGAGGCTAAGGCAGGAGGATCACAAGTTCAAAGTCAGCCTCAGCAACAATGAGGCGCTAAGCAACTCAGTGAGACCCTGTCTCTATGTAAAATACAAAACAGGACTGGGGATGGGGCTCAGTGGTTATGTACCCTTGAATTCAATCCCCAGTACCTGGCCCCCCAAAAAATAAAGAATCTCACTAAGTCACTGAATTGCTTAAGGCCTCTCTAAGTTGCTAAGGCTGGCTTTGAACTTGTGATCCTCCTGCCTCAGCTCCCGAACCACTGGGATTACAGGCATGTGCCACCAAGCCTAGCAGAAAGTCTTTATTTTTTTAAGTCCTCAACATCTAGTGTGGTACCTGATTGTGATGAATCCCTAGATATTTGCTGTTGGATAAATAAATAGATAAATATCTAAACAGATAAGTAATAATCCATGTGCCCAGCAGCAGCCCCTTATCACACACAGGGACACACACTTTCATTAAGCCACATTTTCCATGATTGACAACTCCTTTCCTTAATTTAGTCGAACCTGTAATGGAAAATAGGAAAGTGGCTTCTCATTTGTTTGACCTTCAGATGGGAAGACTATTCTAGATTGCCCTAGTAGGCCCAGACATTTCACAAGAGCAGCAGAAAAGTGGAAGAGGAAGGCAGGAAAAGAGCCAGATAATGGGCCCTTATCATGAGAAGGACTCGTGCTTCTGATGTGGCTTTGAGATAAAAGAAGAGAGCCAGAAGGAAAGGAAGAAGACCAGGGAGGGCTTGGAAAAGCCAAAAAAGGCAAGGAAACAGACTTTCCCCAGAGCCTCAAAGTCAGTCAGCCCTGCTGGCACTCTGACTTCAGCCCAGTGAGACCTGTATCAGACTTCTGACCCACCGAACTAGGAGATAATGCAGTTACATTGTTTTGTTTTTCAATATTTTTTTTAGTTGTAGTTGGACACAGTACCTTTATTATTTTTTTTATTTTTTTTTATGTGGTGCCGAGGTTCGAACCCAGGGCCTCACACTTGCTAGGTGAGCACTCTATTGCTTAGCTACGACTCCAGCCCTGCAGTTACATCGTTTTAATCTACCAACTTTGTGGTAGTTTGTCATAGCAACAAGAAGAACCTCAACACTTTAATGTTATTAAAAAGTCTTTGAAAACATGGTTGTTGGTGGATTCATAAGATTATCTTATGAATTTTCCTGTGGATCTACCATAATTTACTTAACCAATTCCATGATCCCATGCATTAGCTGTTTTGGCCACTTCTAATTTGCGTAATTGTTGAACAGACAATTTGTGTGGTTAATTTGCACCATGGATGTTCCCTGCTGAGTGCTTGTTAGGTAAATCTGCACCATGTCTGTTACTATGTTCCACCATCCATTCTGCTTTGAAAATTTAACTGAGTGTATAGATTCTTCTTGCAGTCTTCTAACTTTTCTTAATATTGCTTATTGAAACTTTGAGTAAAGCATAATTTGGGAGAGGATAGTTGCTATTCTATATTAAGTTTTAGTTTTCTGCAGGGTAGTTATAGTTAAAGCATCGTCCCAGGGTTTCATAAATTGACTTCCAGACCACTCACATATAATCAAATCAAGCCTTTATTGAAGCACACCCGTGGTGACTGACCAGAACATAAAGCTGTTCCTCTGATCAGCCCCGCACAATTGTAAGGGCACTCCTTATAAGCCTGAAAACCACAAAAGGGACATTTGGGGGTATAGCCAATGCAAGCAAGCCAAGTTACAGAAGTGGGAGAGTGCAGTCAGGTGGCGGGACACTTAGCCAATCACAATTAGCCCAGTCACCCCAGTTCCAGAAACAGAGCCCCATTACCCTAGTTACAGAAACAATGCCCCATTAGGTAGTTTTGTGTTCTTAAAGATTTCTATAGCAAAAAGGAAAGAACATATTGCCCCAGTCATGACTCTTCTACTTGGCATGGTTGTTTTATAAAATGCAGTTACAAAATGGAGTCACTTTGGCTTGACTATCACAGGTATGGTGGCACATGCCTGAAATCCCTGCAGCTCCAGAGGCTGAGGCAGGAGGATTTCAGGTTCAAAGCCAGCCTTAGCCACTTAGCAAGGCTGTAAGCAACCTAGTGAGACCCTGTCTCAAAATAAAATTAAAAAGGGCTAGGGATGTGACTCAGTGGTTAAATGCCCTTGAGTTCAATCCCTGGTACCCATTAAAAAAAAAAATCAGTTTTGTGATCTGACCTTAGATATGCTAATTTTTTCCTTTTATAATCTGTTGTATGTGTACTTAGCACTAAGTGTTGAAGTGAATATCTCTAAGGAAAATTCCTATTCTATATCCCTTGTGCTCCTTCAGTTTTAACTAGTGAGTTTTTAACAGAAATATTCTTCAGGTCTTCGGGAAATAAGAAAGATACTTGAAAGTTACTAAATATCTATATGATTAAACTGAATTGTTGTTTGATTACTTGTCAGTCAGCAGTTGATAGTAGTAAGAAAGCCCATTTCCAAGAAAACATATTTGTTTTTTTGGAAAGGCAAAACTCGCTTGATATTACCATCTCCTTCCCCCATGGGAAGGTAGGGGTCTCCCATCCCTTCAGGAAACACCTGTGCCCTACTCTTCCACCTCTTTCTCTGTAGCCACAGACATTTCTCTGTCATCAAGAAGCAAAGAGCCAGGCATGGTGGCACTGCCTGTATCCCTGCTACCTGTGCGGTAGAGACAAGAGGATCTCTTGAGCCCAGGAGTTGGGGGCCAGCCTGAGCAATGTAGCCAGATCCTGTCTCTTTAAACACAAAAAGACCCAGATGGTCGCAAGACCACCCTCCTCAGGCCTGACCCTCACTCTGTAGCTCCTGCCGTGGTGTCTCCCTCCCCCCCACTGCATTGCTTTCACATTTCTCTGGAACTTTCTAGACAGATGCTATCCCCACCTACCTCAGCAATTGCTTTTGCAGAAGTTAGTGATACTCTCCTAATGACTAAGTCCACTTTTTGGTTTTGTTCTCGTTTTTATTTTGAGCCATATCCGCAGCCCTTTTTAAATTTTTTTTTTTTTTTTTTTAATTTAGAGACAGGGTCTCACTGAGTTGCTTAGGGCCTTGCTAACTTGCAATCCTCCTACTTCAGCCTCCCAAGCTACTGGGATTACAGGTGGGTGCCACTGTGCCTGGCTGATTAAACTTGCTTTTTCACCTTCTGACTTTTTCTGTATTTTTCTTAACCTATCTGATAATTTTCTTTCTGTCTCCTTTTTTCCTATCCCTTAAAAGTCAGTTTTCCAGCTAGTCCAGATCAGATAGCTAAGGAGACAGATGTGTATGTATAGATTCCAAACACACCTACATGCTGGTCACCCCAAGTATACACCCCCAGCCCAGACTGCCCTGTTCAACCCCCAAGTTAGGGAAGAGCTGCCTCCCAGCCACTGGGACATCTGTACTTGGCTCAGTCACAGGACCAGCTGAAGCCTCATATTGACCCAGCCCTTCCTGTACAACCTGCTGTTCTTCACTCTCTGACCCCTTGCATCCACCCAGCTGGCTGCCACTTTTCAACAGCTTCCCCTGTAGTCCAGCCCTTCACTAGTACAGGTCCACTCTCTGCAGAGTGAGCTGGCTTTTCCAGATTACAGGGCCAGTTGTCTTGTTTCCCTGCTTAAAATCTTCCTGTAGGGGGCTGGGGTTGGGGCTCAGTGGTAGAGCGCCAGTCTCGCACGTGTCGGGTGGGGCACTGGGTTTGAGTCTCGGCAACACATAAAAATAAATAAAGATATTATGTCCATCTATAACTAAAAACATATATTTTTAAAAGTCTTCCTGTAGGTTATTCCGTCTTTGTTGGGATCATCTTTTTTTTTTAAGTGGTTCTGGGGATTAAACTTCAGGGGTGCTCTACCAGTGAGCCATACCCAGTCCCTCACCTTTTTTTTTTAGATAGAATCTTTCTGAGTTGCTGAGGTTGGCCTCAAACTTGCAATTCTTCTGCCTCAGCCTCCCAGGTAACTGGGATTTCAGGTGGGTGCCAGGACCTTCTTTTTGTTGTTGTTACTGTATTTATTATACCTTTATTTTATTTCTTTTTTTTTTTTTTTATGTGGTGCTGAGTATGGAACCCAGTGCTTCACATATGCTAGGCAAGTGGTCTATCCCTGAGGTACAACCACAGCCCCTACTGGAACCTTCTTTTTTTTTTTTTTTAATTAGTGATACATGACAGTAGAATACACTTTGATACATTATATATAATGGAGTATAATTTCTCATTCGTCTGGTTATACATGATGCAGAATCCCACCGGTCACTTAGCTATATGTGTATGTAGAGTAATAATGTCTGATTCATTCTACTACCCTATTGCTGGGACCTTCTTGATCAGGCATTTCTTCTCCAGCTTTATAAGAGCAGTCCACACAGAGGCACATAGCAGGCCCCACCAACACAGTTTTATGTCTGAATCCAACCACACCGCCAATGCCAGACTGCCACTTGCCTTTATATTCATGTCAACATCCAGAATGCATTCTCCTGCCCAGTATTGGAGACTTGGCTCAGGAGTTCAGACCTCCTCAGTACCAGGCACCTTCCCCACCTACCCTGCTCAGCCCTGACCCTGTGCTCTCAGTGGAGTTCTGCTCACGCAGGCTGCACTGAGCTGATCTGCCTCTCCCCAGCCCATCTCTATTACTGAAGATGGCATTTGGACCACTGTCACCAGGGGTTACTAGGTGTCTGTTATCAAATTTGATAATAAAACAAAGTGTTTCTTTTCCCTAAAGGGATATGTTTTGCCATGGCACCAGTGCTGCCTACTTGTGGTTTGTTTTCTCTGCAGGGAACATATTCTGATCTGTTCTGTCTCTCTTATCTAGTGGTAAGCATCCGTGGCATTCAGGAAGAGGATCCCCCCGATGCTCAGCTCATGAGGCTGGATAACATGCTGCTGGCTGAGGGTGTGTCCAGACCGGAGAAGAGAGGAAGAGGAGGATCAGCAGTGGCGGCCAGCACAGCAACACCAGGTGGCTGTCCAAATGACAATAACATTGAGCACTCTGACTACAGGGCCAAGCTGTCCCAGATCCGACAGATTTACCACTCTGAGCTAGAGAAATATGAACAGGTGATCTTTCTGCATGGAAGAGTTTCTATCATGTGAATGCGCATTTATCAAAGCAAAACATGGGACATTAACCTCCTTTCTTTTGTGGCACAGAACAGGGAGAACACGCAGTTGGTCACTACAGCGGTGGCTGATTTTAATTAAAGCCCTTTTCATTTACTTCTCAGAAACCAGCCTGTATATGACCATGGGGGTTGGCAGATGGCTGGTCAGGTATGGAACCTGCCGCCCCACACCATCCTGCTGCTCAGTCATAGGCTGGCATGTCTGTGTCCCCATCCCAGGCCTGCCGTGAATTCACTACACATGTCACCAACCTTCTCCGGGAGCAGAGCAGGATGAGGCCTGTGTCCCCCAAGGAGATCGAGCACATGGTTGGCGTCATACATGGCAAATTCAGCGCCATCCAGATGCAACTGAAGCAGAGCACCTGTGAGGCCTTGATGACCCTACGTTCACGGTTCCTTGATGCCAGGTCAGGGATTCCAGCTGCCCAAGACCCTGTGGGTTCATCCTCAAGAAGATGAGTGGAATCTGTGCGCGTTTGGATTTTTCCAGTTTTTTCTTTTTCTTTTGTCCTGTGTGAGTGTGTGTGTGTGTGTGTGTGTGTGTACACATGTGTGTGGTGCTGGAGATAGAATCCAGGGCCCTGCAGAGGCAGAGCAAGTGCTCTACCACTGAGCCACACCCCCAGCCCCTGGTTTGAATATAAGACCATTCTGGAGGTTCTGGCTGTAGACTGTGGGTACAGGCCTCATATCACCTCTTTGGAAGAAGACCCAAAGTATTGATTGCTGTTTGTAAATTGCTAGAAGCATAATTAGGAATAGGGGCTGTTATCAATGCAGACTGAGACTGTCTGTCTTTACAGGCGTAAGCGGCGGAATTTCAGCAAGCAGGCAACAGAAGTGCTGAATGAATATTTTTATTCCCATTTGAGCAACCCTTACCCCAGTGAAGAAGCCAAAGAAGACCTAGCCAGGAAGGGTGGCATCACAGTATCCCAGGTGATGTCCTCCCCTGCATGCCTACCATACCTGGAAGGTGTGGAAAGTTTAGTCCCATTGGAAGGACACAAAGGGAAGTCAATCAAATGTGTGGATCAGGAGTCGAGGAACCAGACTCAAGGTCACTTTGGATGGGCTTAGATCCCAGCTCTGTACTACTGAATGTGGGACTTGGGCAGGTGCTCTTCCCCCTCATGTGTGAGACAGGGATGCAAATGCACCCATTGCAAGGCATAGGGACCCCTGAGGAATGCCAGTGGGGTATGAGCCATCTTAATTGATAGCTGGTAGAATGTGAGGTTCCCGAGGGGTGGGACTGAATGTTCTTTGGGCTGGGGGTATAGCTTGGTAGTTGAGTGCTTGCCTAGCATGTGTGAGGCCCCCAATTCCATCCAGCACCACAAAAAAAAAAAAAAAATACAAGAGGTCCCTGATGTAATACAAGTAGAATATGAGGTCTTGATGCTGTGGAGTATAAGGCCCCTGACCCTGTGCCCTGGCATTTGGCCAACTGTCTCCTCTGTGGAATTGAAGACAGAGGAGGCCAAGAAAGACTTTATAGTGGGAAAAGTTAGTCCAGCAGCCTATGAGCAGTGAATGTGACCAGACCGCACTCACTGGCAGCATGAGTGTGCAGAGTGGGACCTTCCACCGCATTCCTGCTCATGCAGGCACCACCCCACTGCCACTATGGCAGCAGTGATGACAGACAGCTGGCACTCGGCTCACTGAATGTCCCCACAGTCCTCTGACATTGGGACCCCCTCTCCCTGCTTTGCAGTTAGAGGGGTTAAGTTTTTAGCTCTTAGCCACCACACTCAGACCCCAATTCAGGCTAAGTCTATCTCCATCTCTGTGACAGAGCACTCAGGAGCCCCTCAAGGTCATTTAGGTAGCAAAACATCACAGGGGTCCCAGCCACATTGGACTGGTAACCTGGGTGCTGCTGTGGCATCCTCAGAAACAAGCCCAGAGCTGAAGTAGAAGGCTGTGCCACTGGGTCTTCAGGGCCCCAAAAGAAGCTTGATGTCTGGCTGCTGCTTGGCCAGCCACCAGGAGCAGTAGCCTAAGAAGTATCAGGTGACCTCAGAGCCACTCCAGTCGATGCCCAGGGAAAGGGAATAGTCTCAGGTCTAAATAAGCAGAAGTGTGGAAAGCATTAGCCTGACATGCCAGGGACTCTCCTGCCTGCAGTCTGGACCTTGAGACCCCCCTGCCAGTGGCAGAATTCTGTTCTAGGAGCCTCTTCCCATTTTGGTGCACTCACCAAGTATCAGTGCATCCCCAAATGGCTGACAATTAGTTGAAGGGGGGTTTTGAATGTGGGCACAGTCAGGAGAAGTTAAAGGGAGGGAGAGAGAGCACCATTAATGCAGGTGACGTCATGGCTGAGGCTCATGGATGTCTTCAGGACAGAATCAGCTCCACCTCAGGCTAGGGAGGTCTGAGGGAGGAAGGGCTTAGGGTTAGGGGAAAAGGGGAAAAGAGCTGAGCTGAAGGAGAGGGAGGTGGTAGCCTGGACAGCAGAGCTGGCTCAACCAGAGGGGGCTGGATTCTAGGCAGGGATGGTCCATGTCTTCTGAGGTACAGCAGGTAGAGAGGACCTCTAGAGTTGGTGCCACACCTATACCTACAACAGAGTGCCCACATGGGGTATGCCCTATGGAGAAGACAGACCCTGGCCAGGGACCTGCTTTTCCCCAGTCACTGTGCCCTCTGTCCCTACCTAGCAAGAGGTTCAATCTCCCTAATTCACCCACACTGAAAATTTGCTCTTTGTCTCTCTAAAATGCCAATTTGGAACTGGGTGTGGTTCAGGTAAGGGCCCGGGAGTTCAAGGCCAACCTGAGCCACATAGTAAGACCACATCTCAAAAAATAAATAAAAAATATATAAGTTAAAGCCGGGCACAGTGGCACATGCCTGTAATCTCAGTGGCTCAAAAAGCTGAGGCAGGAGTGTCATGAGTTTAAAGCTAGCCTCAGGGGGGCTGGGATAGCTCAGTGGTAGAGTGCGTGCCTCGTACTTGTGAGGTACTGGGTTCAATCCTCAGCACTACATTAAAAAATAATGAATAAATAAATAAATAAAGATATTGTGTAAAAAAAAAAAAAAGCCAGCCTCAGATTTAGCAAGGCCCTAAGCAACTTAGTCAGACTCTGTCTCAAAAATAATAAGGGCTGGGAATATAGCTCAATGGTTAAGCACCCCTGGGTTCAGTCTCTGGTACCAAAAAAAGGTTAAAATGGGGACAACATGAGAAAGTGTTTACTGCCATTCTCTGCAAGCCTTGTTCCACAAAGAAGTTCTGGAACATTCCCAGTAGATAGGTGGAAGCCAAGTGCTCACTCAAGGTTGGATCAAGAGAAGACTACCCCCGCTCCCAGGAGAGGCAAAGAAGTGGTAATGTTTTAGAAGCAGGGAGCACATGCATACAGGTTTGTTTTATTTGTTTTTAATAATTTGGTGATTTTTTTTTAGTTTTATTGAACTACTTACTTTGGTACCAGGGTTTGAATCTAGGGGTGCTTAACTATTGAGCCACATCCCCAGTCCTTTTTATTTTTTTATTTAGAGACAGGATCTCATTAAGTTGCTTAGGGCCTTGCTAAATTGCTGAGGCTGAACCTTGAACTTTCGACTCTCATACCTCAGCCTCCTGGGTTGCTGGGATTACAGGTGTGCACCACAATCCCTGGCTGCATAAAGGTTTTATAGTTAATAATGAGAAGGTAATACTGAGTCATTAAATAAAACATTCTTAAAGGAGTAAAAGTCATCCATAATCCCACCACGGCCACTCACCTGTAGTGGGAGTAACAGGCACCTCAGAGGCAGCACCCACACAGTCCGTTCCCATCATGTCTCACTCTGAGCAGTGTTTTGGCAGCTTCCGTGTGTATCCACAGGTCTCTAACTGGTTTGGCAACAAAAGAATCCGATATAAAAAGAACATGGGGAAATTTCAAGAAGAGGCTACCATTTACACGGGTAAATCAGCTATGGATGCCACCAAGGCCAGGGCCCTGGAGAGCCAAGCCAGCTGCCTGTCAATGCCTAGCCCCGGTGAGTGTTGGCTGGGCCCTGCGCCCCTCAGCAGCATCTGGGGAGCCCCCGACCCAGCTGGTCACGAATTACCTCTTTCTCTCTTTGAATTATGAAATTTCTGTTTTCATTGACCAAGATCCCAACTAACAGGTAACCGTAGCCTGTGCCAATGCTGTGGGACGCAGACACTGATACCAGTAAGAAAGGACAAGAGCTGTGTGGCAAGGAGCCCCACCTGCCTCACGGACCTGTGTCCTCACCACACAGAGGCAGGGAGACCGATGCCATGTGGGGACTGCCTTCACGGTCTCTTCTGACCGCGGGGACGGGCAAAAGCCACCTGGGGCCTCACTGTGACTTCAGCTGACCCAGGCCCTGCTCTGATCCTCAGCCTGAACCCCTACCACTTCTTCCAGGTTCCTCTGGTCCCTTCCCACTGACCAGTGCTGGGGATACATTCCTCACCCTGCGGACCCTGGCCTTTCTCCAGCCCCCTCCTGGGGGCAACTGCCTGCAGTCCCAGGTAGGTTGGGGCACAGTCCCAGGGAGCCCTGGTAGCTGAGGGTCCTCAGATTGGGGCCGACGTTCCAGCCACCTCCCGCTTCCACTCATCTCCTACAGCAGTGCCCCAACCACATGGTCTCCGTTGTGAGGATCATAGGTGGGCTGAGCTGCCGCAGGGCCCGGCTCCTCAGGGTCCGTGTTGTACACACTGTTCCTTTGGGCTCCCACCTCTGCCCATTGCAGGATGTTAATTCACAGCAGCCACCAAAACCTGTCAATGGGCATGAAGACCCGCTGTAAGGGTTTTGGTGTGGAGGGGAAGGAGCCTCCCTCCTGGAGGAGTGTGGGGAAAGGTGGCAGGCGGCGTCAGAGGAGGCCTGGAAGAAAGATGGGCTCTTCCCCTTGAGAACATGCTCCCTCCTAGGCTCAGGCCCACCAGTGTCTACCTGGAGGCCTAGCCAGGACAGAGGGCCTCTCACCAGCACCACTTTCCTCTTGCCCTGATGAGGTGTTAGTGCCCAGTGTGGCCACACTGAAGATCCATTTGGAGATTGGGAAGAAAATAAGCCAAGGACCTTGAGTGGCCACAGTACCCTCCAAAACTTTCTTGAGGTGTTACCTGCCCCTTTCTCAGGTCCTGGGGCCTCCCCAGTCTGCCCTAATGGCCACAGGGTCCTGACCCCTGACCTAGAAGAGGGTTCAAGTGGGACTGATTGGCCCACTGTGTGTAGGTTTTCCAGAAGATGCCACATAGACACAGGAGGACGAGCCCACCAAGGAGGCATCATCCGGGGCCTTACAAAGCCCATGAGTTTTTCCTTTTTTTCGGTACTAAGGATGGAACCCAGGGGCACAGTTACCACTGAGTTTCATCCCCAACCCTTTTTATTTCTAAAGCAGTGCTAGTTTTGTTTGTTTTTAATATTTTTTAGTTGCCAATGGACCTTTATTTTACTTAATGTGGTGCTGAGAATTGAACCCAGTGCCTCACACATACTAAGCAGCACTACACCACTGAGCCAGACCTTCTTTATTTTGAGACAGAGTCCCACTGATTTGCCAAGGCTGCCCTTGAATTTGCAGTCCTCTCATCTTGGCTTCCCAAGTTGCTGGGATTGTAGGCGTGCCGTGAGTTTTCTTCACAGAAGTGTCCTGCAAGGCTGGGATACAGCTCATGGGTGGAGCACTTGTCTTGCATGCGCAAGGCCCTGAGTTCATCCCCAACATCACCCAAAAAAAGTTGTCTACACAGCTTCTCTGATTTTCACCACTCCCAGTTCCTGGGGACTCAGACAGGATGCCTACCATCATGGAGTCTGCCCTGGCACCAAATGGCACATACCCCACTGTGGCCCTGCAGGGGCAGCTGCCTTCTATTGCCATGGCAACACTCAGCCAGAGGCACATGAGACAGGGCCTTGTTTTGCTCTTTATACTCCTGAGGCTCAGTCCTGTGTCTTGGACACAGTGTGAATATGTTTAAGGGGTCCCAGGCTTCGATCCAGGAGGCCAGGTCCTCTCAGCCCCCATGTAAACAGGGAATGCTGGTCCTGGTGTGGAGCCATACCCTACCAGCACCTCCACCTCTGCCTGCCTGCATCCTAGTTAGCATGGCCACAGCCCCCTGCCCATGCCCCTCACAGCACACAGAGGTAAGGACCTGTCTCACTCAGGCACCATCTACACCCTGACCCGTCATCCCCTCGTGTGGGCACGTAGGCCTCCATTCATCACCCTGAGGAAATGCCGGGTGCTGTATGTCCTTCTGAAGGTAGAGTGTCCCTCTGAGGCAAGGGCTCCCCTCTGGCTGCTCTCAGACTAAAGGGCAGAGCAGCCCCCCAGCGTGTGGTGCATCCATTCAAATGAGGGCGAGGCTGATAGGCAAATGTACAGTTGGGCGGGCTCAATGCTGTCCTTGCACCACAGATGATGCCTCCAACCCCTTGTGATGAGGGGACAGCCCCTGCGCATCAGCCATGGGCCCTACCCACCTGGCTGCCCATCCAGGCCAGTGTTCTGACCAGGTTTCTGAGTTCCTCTCACTGAATCTTGCCATGACATTTCAGGGACCATGCTCAGCTCCAGGCCTGACCTTGTCCCCCTCTCCCTCAGAGCATAGGGATCGCAGCATCACCTTGATGCCATGTATTCCTTTACCATAGGCCCTAGAGGCAGCCCACAGAGGCCAGCTCTCCCCCTGGGGAGATCATCTGTAGCACAGCTCAGGTGATGAGCTGGCCATGACCCAGGGCTGACCCCTCCATTCCTTCCCCCACCTCCTGGATCTTTGAGGTTATTGCCAGCACATTCTAAACCTTCCTGGGGACGTGGGGACTGGGTGGTCACCAGCTTTATGGCAGCCCCCCTGATGTTCAGTCTTTGTGTTTTCAGGCCAGGAGCAGCTGGCAGGGGGCCATCCCCCCACAGTCGATTGTCTCACCCACTGGAGACCCCAGCAGCACCAACTCAGATGCCTCCAATTAAGTTTTGGGGATATGCAGAAGGGTACCAGGTGAACCCCACGGGTGGCCAGCACTCATTCTTCTGCACATGCAGTTGATTACCTCAGAAACTTGGGGCCCCAGGTGACAGTGCTCCCTGCTCCTGGGCCATGCAGCCAATGACCGACTCACTCGTCTGCTGGGACTTGAAATGGGCTGAACGCTGCTCATTTTCCCACCTCAGTTTGACTTTTTTAAAAATAGTAATGTTATGTTAAGACTGTGAATTGTCTCTTCTAGGACTTGTCTCAAATTTTCTCATTAAAATTTTTGACTTATTTTAATTTTAATCTTTTTAGTACCCTATTTGTTTCAGGTGATACTTGACAGCATGGGTGCCATGTCATAGCTACCAGGGTCTTGTGAGGGGACTCGGTGGCCACCTCTGCCCTTTGTGTGCCAGCCCTCCCCCCTCCCCCTAGGTGAGCTTGTGTTCGGGTCTGACTTAAATCTGTCCTGAGCTCTGAATTCTGCTGAGAGTTGGTTGGTGGTTTTGTTTGTTTTTGTTTCTTTCTGTTGTTGCTTTTGTTTTCAACTGAAATGTCATTAAAAAGGATAAACCGGGCTGGGGTTGTGGCTCATAGTGGAGGCTCGCCTAGCATGTGTAGGGCACTGGGTTCGATCCTCGGCACCACATAAAACTGAATAAATAAAATAAAGGTATTATGTCCATCTACAACTAAAAAATATTTTTAAAAAATTTTAAAAATTAAAAAAAGAAGCTTCCTGAGCTGTTTTCGTCCATGTGCCATAAAGTCCTGCTGGCCCAAGACTTCACCCTTGGCATCAAATTCCTGAAAGTCCCTCTCTATCTCCTCAGCCTGGCTCTTTCCCAGCTCCACCCCGCACCAGGGCTTGGCTTCCTCGCCTACCACTGAAGAGCAACAATGGGGTTGAGCCCAGCTATGAGGATCAAAATATGCTGCTAGGCCTGGAGCAAATACTGTAACCATGTATCAGATAGTGTCACAGTATCATGGTGGCCCTAACTCCACTTTGTCTGCTGCCACCTCAGTAACTGAGCCCCTATCCAGAGTGTTCTATCTGTCCACACATCCCAGGAGAACTCCTGTGGGCCTCTGCCTCAGCTTCCCCCAGGTTTTTGCTCAGTGGCCCTCAAGGTCCCTCTATTCTAATTCTGTTCCCTGAGCGTAAAAGTCCTACAGGCATCAACACCAAGGTGCTGGTGTGTGGCTGAGCTGCTTTGGACATCCCGATGGCCTGTGAGAGAGACAGGGAGGATGGAAGACAGTGGTCATAACTGGAGGTTCAGCCCCTGCCACTAAGACAGGGGCACCCCAGCTGTACCATGAAAGCAGTGACTGCTACAGGTGAGAGGGGCTTGCCCTGCCTCTGGTCCTCAGGGGAGTCCTGCCCAGCCCCCAGGAACCCTGGCTGCCCTCAGACTGCCCCCTGCCAGGATGCCCCAGACTTGGCTGGGCACCGCCTCCAGGTCTCAGGTTGCTCTTGCCCAGCTGTACCCCGACACTGTCCTTCTCCACACCTTCTATTTGTTGTTTCTAAAAGATAAGAAATTAGCCAGGCATGATGGTGCATGCCTATAGTCCCAACTACTTGGAAGACTGAGGCAGGAGGATCACAGGTTGAGGCCAGCTTGGACAACCTAATGGGACTCTGTCTTAAAATTAAAAAATAAAAAGGGCTGGGAATGCCGGGTGCAGTGGTGCACACCTGTAATCCTAGTGGCTCAGGAGGCTGAGGCAGGGGGATTGTGAATTCCAAGCCAGCCTTGGCAATTTAGGAAGGCTCTAAGCAACTGAGTGAGACCTTGTCTCTAAATAAAATATAAAAAAAAAAAGGGGGCTGGGGATGTGGCTCAGTGGTTAAGCGCCCTGGGTTCCATCCCTAGTACCAAAAAAAATAAATAAAAATAAGTCAAGAAATGGGTTTCAAACATGGGCAATATAGAGGGCATTCGGGGATTACTTGGGAAGCTAAAGCAGTAGGATAGGAAATTTTGAGGCCAGACTGGAGAATTTAGCAGGATCCTGTCTCAAAAAAAAAAAAAGGCTGGGATATCCAGGTGTGCCCAGGTAGATGCATCCCCACTTTGACCCAAGATGTCCTGCCACACACATTGCCTTTCTCCACAAGACACATCCTAGAGGTCACTCCTCATCTATTCCTGAGCGCCAAACCACTAGGATGGGACAGCCCGGGCTTCTCCACAGGCTGGGGACAGGTCAGGACATCTGGGGATTAGAGACGGAAAGACAGTGGTCCCTCTGCTGCCCCCGGTCACAGCTGGGTCTGTTTGTGGTGGCTGTAGTGGTTTCCTCCTCGCAGCAGAGGATCTCCATGCCCTGAGTCCCTGTTGTCACAGCATCCTGTCTGCCTGCCATGGGGTGCCTGCAGCCCAGGATTCAGACCCCCTGCTCTAGTGAGTCAGGTTCCAGAGAGAAAGATCATCAACACAGGAAAAGTCGAGGGGTGGGTGAGGGCCAGCCTCAGGGGGAAGCTTCTTTTCCTTTCTATTTTTATTGTAATAAAATACATATAGTTTGCCATTTTTTTAAAATATTATTTTAGTTGTAGAGGGACACGATAACTTCATTTTGTTTATTTTTATGTGATGCCGGGATCGAACTCAGTGCCTCATGCATCTCGACAAGCGCTCTACCACTGAGCCACAACCCCGGCCCATAAAGTTGGTCATATTTTTCAGGTTTTTTTTTTTTAATTCTAATTAGATATACATGACAGAAGAATACCTTTTGACATATTGTACACAAATGGGGCACAACTTATTCCTCTGGCTGTATGTGGTGCAGGGTCACTCCATAGCGTAATCATACACGTATATAGGGTAATAATGTCTGTCTCATTCTACCATTCTTCCCATTCCCACAGCCCCACCCTTCCCCCCACACCCCTTTACACAAACTGAAGCTCCTTCATTCTTCCCTACCTACCCCTCCCACCCCACTATGGATCTTCATCCGCTTATCAGAGAAAACATTCAGTTTTTGGTTTGGGGGGATTGGCTTATTTCACTTACCATGATATTTTCTAGTTCCATCCATTTATCTGCAAATGCCATTATTTCATTCATCTTTAAGGCTGAATGATATTCCATTGTGTACATGTACCACATTTTCTTTATCCATTCATCTGTTGAAGGGCATCTAGGTTGGTCCCATGGTTTAGCTATTGTGAATTGAGCTGCTATAAATATTGATGTGGCTGCATCACTGTAGTATGCTGGTTTTAAGTCCTTTGGGTATAAACCAAGGAGTGGGATAGCTGGGTCAAATAGTGGTTCCATTCCAAATTTTCTGAGGTATCTCCATACTGCTTTCCAAAGTGGTTGCACCAATTTGCAGTCCCACCAGCAATGTATGAGTGTACCTTTCCCCACATCCTCACCAACACTTATTATTGCTTGTATTCTTTTTTTTTTTTTTTTTGCTTGTATTCTTGATAATTGCCATTCTGACTGGAGTGAGATGAAATCTTAGAGTAGTTTTTTTTTTTATTTTTTAAATAGAGAGTGAGAGAGGAGAGAGAGAGACAGAGACAGAGAGAGAATTTTTTAATATTTATTTTTTAGTTCTCGGCAGACACAACATCTTTGTTGGTATGTGGTGCTGAGGATCGAACCCGGGGCCGCACGCATGCCAGGCGAGCGCCCTACTGCTTGAGCCACATCCCCAGCCCAAATCTTAGAGTAGTTTTGATTTGCATTTCTCTAATTGCTAGAGATGATAAACATTTTTTCATGTTTGTTGATTGATTGTGTTTCTTCTTCTATGAAGTGTCTGTTCAGTTCCTTAGCCCATTTATTGATTGGGTTATTTGGGGTTTTTTTCTTGTGTTAAGTTTTTTGAGTTTTTTATATATCTTGGATATTAGTGAGGTATGTATGGTAAAGATTTTTCCCATTCTATAGGCTCTCTCATTATGTTATTGGTTATTTCCTTTACTGAGAAGCAGCTTTTTAGTTTGAATCTATCCCACTTATTGATGTTTATTTTACTTCTTGCACCTTAGGAGTCTTGTTAAGGAAGTCAAGTCCTAAGCCAACATGATGATTGGGCCTACTTTTTCTTCTGTTAGGTGCAAGGTCTCTGTTCTAGTGTCTAAGTCTTTGATCCACTTTGATTTGATTTTTGGGCAGTGTGAGAGATAGAGGTTTAATTTCATTTTGCTACATATGGATTTCCAGTTTCCCCAGCACAATTTGTTGAATAGGCTGTCTTTTCTCCAATGTAAGTTTTTGGCACCTTTATCTAGTATGAGATAACCATATTTTTGTGGGTTTGTCTCTGTGTCTTCTATTTCGTACCATTGGTCTACATGTCTATTTTGGTACCAATACCATGCTGTTTTTGTTACTATTGCTCTGTACGATAGATGAAGATCTGTGGTATTGTAATACCTCCTGCTTCACTCTTCTTGCTGAGGATTACTTTAGCTATCCTGGGTCTTTTATTTTTCCAAATGAATTTCATGATCGCTTTTTCTAGTTCTATGAAGAATTTCATTGGGAGTTTAATAGGAATTGCATTAAATCTGTAAGCAATTTTGGTAGAATGGCCATTTTGGCTATATTAGTTCTGCCTATCCAAGAACATGAGAGATCTTTCCATCTTCTAAGATCTTTAATTTCTTTCTTTAGTATTCTGTAGTTTTCATTGTAGAGGTCTTTCACCTCTTTTGTTAGATTTATTCCCAAGTATTTTTTTTTTGAGGCTATTGTGAATGGGATGGTTTTCCTAATTTCTCTTGCAATGGATTCATTGCTTATGTATTTGATTTTATTAATTTGATTTATGGGTATTGATTTTATATCCTGCTACTTTGCTGAATTCACTTACTATTTCTAGACTTTTCTTGTGGAATATTTTTGGATCTTCTAAATATAGAATCATGTCATCAGCAAATAATGATAAATTGACATGCTTTATTTTCTCTGATTGCTCTAGCTAGAGTTTCAAGGACTATGTTGAATAGAAGTGGTAAAAGGGACATCCTTGCCTGGTTCCAGTTTTTAGAGGGAATGCTTTCAATTTTTCTCCTTTTAGAATGATGTTGGCCTTGGGCTTAGCATATATAGCTTTTACAATGTTGAGGTATGTTCCTACTATCCTTAGTTTTTCTAGCGTTTTGAAGATAAAGAGGTACTATATTTTGTCAAATGTTTTCTCTGCATCTATTGAGATAATTATATGATTCTTGCCTTCAAGTCTATTGGTGTGATGAATTACTTT